CACAAAATTACAATTCAACAAAGTCTCTTAATTTTACGGGACGTATCTTCTTCCGTACTGGTGACAATGTGTGGTTGTATAATCCCAGGAAGACCAAAGGGAAGTCTCCTAAGTTGTCTTTTCCATGGGAAGGCCCATATCACATAGTGGATCGTCTCTCAGACGTGACTTTCCGAATAAAATGTGGTCGGCGAGGTAAGCCAAAGGTGGTACATGCCAACAGGTTTTGGCGTTATCACGGTCTAGACATTTCAGTTGGAACGAAGTGAAAAACGGAACAAATGACGCTGCTGAAGACGTGTCACCTGAAAAAGGCACTGTCGAAGAAGAAACCCTACCCGGTTTTGAGAAAGAAAACAGTGAAGCCGTTAATGAAGTTAGTACCACTGATATGACTGCTACCGATAATGGGACATTTCCTGATGGAGCAGATGAACCCCACGTGAAACAGAAGCCAATGAGACAGAGACCAGTACGGAAGAAGATACGTTCTGTAAAATTAAGAGACCTTGTTGTATTTTAATGTTGTGTTCTATAAATTTTGTACATTTAATCAAGTTATTGTTAATTATCTATTGGTTTAATGTAAGTGGCTATTGTTCGGGACGAACAATATTAAGGAAGGGGCAGTGTTACGACAGCGGAAGTCACGCGACTCTGGGAGCATGCGCACTGGAGTTTCTCGAAGGATCATGAATTTTCCTGGCAACTCTAGTTTGTTCGAGGCGCCATCTTAGTATATAAGCCTGGCGAGAAAAACCAGCGCGATGGGGCAGATAGATTGAAGGGATAGATAATTAAGTCAAACGAACAGTAGGCGCCGTGAGTAAAGTGCGTGAATCACTGCGATTTATAGCGTGTGTTATAAAGGTTGTTAAGTTTAAAGTGACTGTGGAAATACTGTGTATTACAAAGTTCTTTCGAATAAGAATAAACTAGTTTTAATTAAGAAAGGACTTGTATCGCTGAAGTTCCTCGGAAAGAATTTATACCGGAAATTAACAAACAAGCAGATACGCAACATGTTGTTTCTGTTCAGTCACGTTACATACTTTTAAACGGCTCAACAGGTAGCGCTACATGTACTGTTGTGCATATAATTATTTTCAAAATAATATAAATACAGTTATCAGAATCTCAGTAATATAGTGGCAACTAAAAGTATATGAAAGGTTCTAATTAAATATAAACACAGAGAGGAGTCGGAAAGTTTCAAGTAATTAATTTTAATTTCCTGATTTATGTATTTGAAATTTCATTTTATATAAATTTGTAATGGCTAGAGGGCGCTTTTAGGAATCAGTGTATTTTCATTTTGCCGATGAATCGTCTAACGCTAACCCAGGCATAGGATTGAGAAGGTTAGAAATTCTGATGGTAAGAAAAGATAAAAAAGAAATTCATCAGTAATACTTGTACACACGATTTTGAGTCGGAGAAAGAAAACAATTGAGGTAACGTTTTTCAGCAATTTATATTATTTGACTAACATTGGTTAAATGTAAGATTTAAATTTAGTTTTTAAAATATTAAAGTGAAAAATAAGTTAATGCACAAGTTCTAACCTTGCGGTCATTTATAAGTTAGGGTATCAAATATTTTAATTTATATTAACAGCACTGAGTATGGATAAGTAGGAGTATAACTATTAACTCTTTAATTAAGAAATAGTACTGTACGTTACGTTTGACATAGCTGTACTGGTACTAGGGCTGATCAACGTTTTCAGTACAGCTTCGTACAATTTTCGTTGAACGCAGGTTACAAATGAATCTCAATGATACTGTAGCTATGCATAACTCTATATTCTACAATTTGTACAATTATATGTTACTAGTGTTAGTTCGAAGACTCTTTAGCTTCCACAGTCTTACTGTTAGTCGTAGTGTTACTGTGTTAGCATTACTAATACTATTAAGTATATTGTAAATTTATTTTTACTGGTACTATTTTTAATTGATAAGCTGCTTTGCTTTATTGTTTTTTTTTTAGATTCTTGTGAACCAAATTTTACATATAAAGTATAACAATATGTATTGTAAGTCAAAACCAAAATTTGAAAATGGAGGGAAAGTTCAGACAAATTTCATTGTCACTGACAATGCAAGAAAAAGATTTGTGTAACACAATACAAAATTTAGAAGTAAACTATTTTGATGAATATTTTACAGATTAAGCCAATTTTAGGTTTTACTTATGAAAATTTCATCATCAGCGTATGATCTTAAAACCTGTCTCTGAGCTGGTGAAACATGCCCATTATTTCTGGGCTTTACCCATCATATTCATTATTCATGTAGATGACTGATGCTTATAGCTTTCTTTTTTTTCAAATGTTTAAGTATTTTTCGCTCAGTTTTTATATTGACATATAATCATGATGTGTTGAGAATATGTAGAGTCACAAATGTAGTTGAAATTCAGTGAACCCCTGATAATTAGGGTATCAGGTTTCTTATTAAGTATATGTGTAGTATATCCTTTGTAATATGTTAAAATATTTAGTATCAAAAATTTGTGACACTGATTTGTTTTTTGAAAAGTGAACTTATTTATGTAATGTTTGGAATTAAACTTGAGCTCTACAATGTTAATGCAGTATGATATTTTAACTGTGAGACTTCTGAATCAAATCAAATTATTCAATAATTCATTGTTTATCAAATGTAACTGTAAAAATGTGGAGATGTGTACTGCTGTGTTCTTGTACCAAATCGAAACATGCACTAGTATCTTAAAATAGATACGTATCATTTCTTAAGATAATGGGTAAGAACGTTTACTGCATTTTATGGGATATTGAAGCTGTTTAGTTATGGTTTAAATATTATCTGATTCTAAAACAATATATATAAATGGTGGTCATCAATATTTGAAATATTCCATTTTGATCATCAATCCACTTTAGCTTCATTACTCTTCACAGTTTAGCCTCTTAGTACCATGTATATGGATTGGGTATTTGTAAAAAATCTAATATTAATTTTTCAGTTAAAGTATTTTTTGCAAAATAAGAAAAAGAAAACAATCATAAATCAAGTGATGAAAGCTTTTATGATGAAAAATTTACTATTTTATACTTTTTTTTTTAATATTAGGCTTATAAGATTTTTAGTCTGGATTTATGTGTAAGCTGTTGTATTTATCAAAGAATAAAAAACACTTGGTGACAGAAGATGTTATAGCTCATTAAGAACATCCAATAAAGAGATCCAACCAAAATATATATAACTCATCACAGCCATAACATTATCCAACAAAAACTTGCAAGGAGTCCAAACTATCACCATACACTACATCATTTAGTAAACTTTTCCACAACATAAGAAATCTCAACAGGGGTAAGATTCTTGGCTAATAACAAGCTGGACCTTATCATCCATGGCTTTTACTAATTTCTTCTGAAAGTAGACATCCCAACTCACTTCACTTGTTAACTTGCTGTTTCATTGAATAAAAAAATATTCTGTGCTTCTAAATCACATTTATTAATTCTTCCTTTACAAAATTGTAGAAATTTTAGTGAAGAAACTCACTACATAAAACGTTTGTGAAACAGAACTTCACATCACTGCAAAGTTTTGACTCAACCCAAAGAACATTAGAGATGGAAAAATGATTTTAATAATATAGTAGGATTTATAAATTCATTAACTGATCTTATCCATCTACCAGTCCAACAGATCTTTCATGATTTTAAATACCTGAATCAGATCACCTCTAGTTCTTTTATGTTTCAGAGAAAATAATTTCATATATTTAAGCCAGTCTTTAAAGCATAAATATTTCAAATCAGGAATCATTTTGGTAGCACCTAGTTACTAACTAAAGTTAAAAAATATATATACAGTGTGCATTTATTTATTAAGCTATAAAATTGGTGCCTTTGGGAATCGTATGTTAAGTAGACCTCAAGCTGCCAACATTTAGCTAATACTTGGTAGTTTTCTAAGAAGTTGACCACTGTATAAGTGTTATGGGAAAATGAAGGAGAAAGACTATGATTATTGAATTGTGAAATACACAATTTTTACGTAATATTTAACTTATGCATTATTTTAAATATTGTATGTATGTGTTTAATAGAATCTGTGTCAATGAATAAACCAGCTGTCCAGTGAGTGTCAAGCACATTATTTTGCCACAACAGCATAAGCTATAATGCTTACAAATGCCATTAAGATGTACACCATTATGTAATATCCGATTTCATGTTCATTATACAAACTGAAGCAATTTATTAAAATTGTTTTATGAACTCTTTTTTGAGATATATTTAGTGGTAACTTGCATGAAATGTTCTCAGTTATTGATACAATCTGTGAAAGGCTTTTGGTAAAGTTGTTAGGAAAAAAAAATATGCTGAGTGATTATTTTGAATTTTCACAAGAGAAAAAAAAACTGAGACAGAAAAGATCTTGAATCTGTATTCCAGCAAGCTAGGCAGTATATCATGCTATAGTTTGTTTAAATTGGGATTAACCACACATAAGCAACAACTACTTTTATATTTGTATATTTAGCATGAACAGTCATCATATAGCCATTGACAACTTGGAACATTTGTTTGTAGCTAGTTACACTGAGATAGGGATAACTTTTGTTTTGCTACACTGTGGAAAAGAATGTTACCGGCACATTTAGTTGTTTTTGCATTTTCTGAAGTAAAGTATGTATCAAAAGTTAAAAAAAGTGGCAAATCAAACAGTTTTTAGTTATATTTGATGTGGTCCATTGACTAACTGTCAGTAAAAGCCAAAAATTAGCATTTTTTGCAGTAGACACAGAATACGTATGTAATGGAAAAAAGAGCAAACTTAAATGAAATTCTGTAAATTATCCTACACATTAAAACTGATTATTAATGTAACCACAACATCTGTAAATTTATTAGAAAACAATATATTTTGTCTCAGTATGTTAAAAATAATTAAAATCTTATATATAGTCGTATTAATCTCAGTTCCTGAGAAAATTAGAAAACGTTTGGGTTGAAGATAGTAAAGCTACAACTCAAGGTTAGTGTTATCACTGATAGTGGAGATATTCACACCTCGGGAAACTTGAGCACTTATTTCACACAAGTCACTGTTAACATTAGTACTGGAGGTATTCACACTTCTGGAAACTTAAGCACTTATTTTATACAAAAGTCACTGTTAACATTAATACTGGGGGGTAGTAACACTTGAGGAAACTTAAGCACTTATTTCATACAAAAGTCACTATTAACATTAGCATATGGAGATAGTAACACTTGAGGAAGCTTAAGCACTTATTTTATACAAAAGTCACTGTTAACATTAGTACTGGAGGTAGTAACACTTGAGGAAACTTAAGCATTCATTCATTCATTCGTTGAATAATTTTTATTGGTACATAAAATCACAATTGTAATTTTGTATTCAGAATAAGAAGTGACAAAATTTGAATACAAGTTTGTCCCAATTTTACTTCAAGACACTAATGTAAATTTGTCCTACTTTTACTTCAGGACATGATTGTGTGCAGTTCCAGTTTAGAAGTTTTTCTATGTTTTACACCCAAGCTTGATTGTAAGTTTGTCTTGGTTTTACTTCAAGACTTGAGTGCAAGTTTGTCCCTGTTTAACTTCAAGACTCGACTATATGTTATGATATATAATAACTTCTGTTCAGAGTAATCTATGTACTTAGAGCAAAACTCAAAATGATCCTTCCTAGCCATTGGCATATCTAATTAAATATACTTTTCTACTTATAAAGATTAGAATGTGTTGTTTCATCAGTTGGATACCTTTGCTGTTGACATTTTTTGGAATGTTATCCCTGTTTCACTTCAAGATTTGTGTACGTTATCCCTGTTTCACTTCAAGACTTGTGTATGTTAACCCAGTTTTACTTCAGTGTTTAAACATACCTTTATTCCTTGTTTAACTTATTCTTTAACATTTGTTTGTGATAGGTTTGTTTTATGACTTACAAGCATGTTTCTGATTGGTTTGCTTCAAGAGAACATACTTTGCAATACTTTATGATTAACATTTGAGGATTTTAACAAAAAACAAACAAACATGTGACATTTATCTTATAAGTAATCTTTTAAGTCATATGATTTTAGTTGTCACATCAGCTATCTTCCCTCACATATTTGGAAATACTTACAAATTACAATGTGTAAAATTTCCAATGGAGATAATTTGAGTTAACAGATGAAATTAAATTACTGCTTTATGCATGTGACCTTTAGATCACATAGTCACTCTCTTGTAAATACCTAGTTAAGAGTGATGAAAGAAAATGGCAGAACGTGTAGAAAGTAGAATGAATCTTCTGAACATAACAGATTTCTCTTCTATTATAAGAAGTTCATAGATGGATTTGTACTCATTTTAATTAATAAAACTTGAATAGTGTTGATTCTGAGCCAGCCGGTAGAGTAAGTTGTACAGGTGCCTGTAGGGTGTTTGGGTCGG